ATATCAGAAAACCAACCGTATAACGTTGACTTAAATCTATATCTACTACGATATTATATCAGCGTATCGTTTCAAATCTCAAATATCATGAATCGAGAAAATCTACTAGCATCCATCAATATATAGATTCAGAAAATATATAGATTCAATATCCGATATTGATTCTCGATATATAGATACGATTCGATACGCGGCAAAACCGATATTACCCACTCCTACTACAGCGTAAATACGCCACCCACCTTGAGTAATAAGTTCTAAGGTCTCAGTATAGTTACAACGGCTGCCCCACCCTTCAAACCGAAACGCATTACTGCTTCACGGCAGAAATAGGCAGTGTGGTAGTACCTACCCGCGCGGACTCACAAGAGGTCCTATCACCAGTAATTACGCAAATTATAATTTTGCGGGTTTGATTTATTTTTTGAAACACTTATTAAATTTCCTCGCTTTTACGTCGGTCGATCTACAGGGTGTTGTGTAATTGATGCGGGCTGTCGTCAACAGGGAAGGGTCGGCGAGTATGGAGGTCCTGCGCACTGAGGCCGAGCAGGTAAAGAATCCTGAGCTCCGCGAGCTGCTACCGTACAGCTTCGCCATACATCACGCCGGCATGAGCAGGGTGGACAGGACGCTGGTCGAGGATCTGTTCGCCGATAGGCACATACAGGTGAGGGGATACGAGACGCACCTCGCTTATTTGTTGCAACTATAAGTTTATAAAAGATAATCGTGTGAGTTTCCCCTGTTTGCTGTCTTGGTACATATCATAATGAATGAATGAATGAATGAATCAATCAATCAATCAAAAAAAAATTCAACATTAATGAAAGTACATGCTTGTTGAACGTCAAAAAGAACTACCGCCAATTCACAAAAACTAGCCTCCGTCCTGAGAAGAACTGGCAAGAAACTCGGCGGGCATGTCTTTTTTTTTAAATATTAGATTATTTAGATTAATTAGTATTATAACGTAACAATCATTGCAATATTGAAATGCCCGGAGCGATGAATGAATGAACGAATGAATGAATGAATGAAAGAATGAATACAGCTACTGCTACTAATGAGTACTGGATTACTGCTTCGCGTTAGAAATAGCAAGATGGTGGTGGTGGTAGCTAATTTCGATCGATGTTTATAATTGGCGTAATTGCTGGTGGTAGGCGTCACATTACCATTGTGTTGGTGTTGAAAGAAAATAATTATTTCGGATTATTTGGTAGTTTTAAATGCACGGTCTACGCGTGGTCTATTCGAAATACGATCACACACTAACAAAAAATACGTGCGCGTTATTAGATACGCTCAAGGTTAGCAAACTGCTAACCTATGCACAATCCTAAACTCAACTGACTACTTGCTGTATGCCGCCGTTTGACAAGAGTAAGTAAATCGCTCTGGCTGTCATATTTTACATTAGTTCAGCGAGGGTAAAAAGTAAAAATCGATCGGGGGCGCCGCATTGCCGACCCCTGGTCTAAGGCATAAAGGAAAAATGCTAGTATAGTAATAGAAACATGATATTCCTGTTGACAGGTGCTGGTCTCGACGGCGACCTTAGCGTGGGGCGTGAACCTCCCCGCGCACACCGTCATCGTGAAGGGCACGCAGGTGTACTGCCCCGAGAAGGGCCGCTGGACCGAGCTGGGCGCGCTCGACGTGCTGCAGATGCTGGGCCGCGCCGGGAGGCCGCAGTACGACACCAAGGGAGAAGGTGACCTTGGAAATACTACACGCATCACCGTGTGGATATATCCACTCAGGACGACTATTACTCGACTAGTCAAAACCGGTTCGGTTTACTGGTCCTTTGATTGAACTCTGATCCGATCGTTATCAACCCACTTTGAGAAGGCGGCACGACATGAAAACCCTCTTGTCGTGGCCGCTGGAAACTACATACCCGATCCTGTAGACCGAACGGTAAACAGTCGACGTCGTCCAAAACACGTCATCTCGGATCCTCCCGATCCACTAACGGTGTTTTTAGGTACCTCAAGCACCGGTCACCGTCCTCGCCGAACCCTTCACTTGCGACGAAGGGCTCGACGAGCGAATTAATTAACCCATAGACACAGCCCACTGAGTTTCTCGCCGGATCTTCTCAGTGGGTCGCGTTACCGATCCGGTGGTAGATTCTGCGGAGCACTGCTCTTGCTAGGGCTAATGTTAGCAACGTCGTCCGGTTTGAGCCCCGTGAGCTCACCTACTAGTTAAGATTACACTGATATAGTCTCTCAAGGCTCTCGGCTTAGGTAGGAAAAAAAAACTTATCTCCCTCATTGATCTATAACGTATGTTCCTCCACCAGGCATCCTGATAACGAACCACTCGGAGCTCCAGTACTACCTGTCGCTGCTGAACCAGCAGCTGCCTATAGAGTCGCAGCTGGTGAGCAAGCTGCCGGACATGCTGAACGCGGAGATCGTGCTGGGCTCGGTGCAGAGCGTGCGGGACGCCGTCACGTGGCTGGGTCAGTGCGCTCATATGTAGCGGAGGGGGGCGGAAGGATATCTGGTCTAAGCGATATTTTTACTGGTGGCAGGACGTGTTGTGAGTCCGCGCGGGTAGGTACCACCGCCCTGCCTGTTTCTGGTTTGAAGGGCGGGGCAGCCGTTGTAACTATACTTGAGACCGTAGAACTTGTTTCTCAAGGTGGGTGGCGCGTTTACGTCGTAGATGTCTATGGGCTCCAGTAACCATGTTTTTAATTAAAATTCAATTATGTTCTCTCCATTTTAATTAGCTGAAGAAGTTTTTTTTTTTCCAAATTATAAACTTTAAATTTTTTTGGCATTTCCTCCATGAAAAACTTTAAATGGCTGTCATGTAAAGTTGGAAAAATGTCGCTAAAACCAAATCACCCCCTCGATATAAATGCACACAAGGGATTGAGCGTCATTAATGTTCCTCAATTCCCGGGACAGGCTACACGTATCTATACATCCGCATGCTGAGGCAGCCGGCGCTGTACGGAGTCTCCCCGGAGAAGATGCAGGACGACAATCTGCTGGAACTGCACCGCGCCGACCTGGTGCACACCGCCGCCAGTCTACTGGACAAGTGAGCTACCATCAACGGGTCATGACGGCCGCCTCATGCCTTGAGGCGTGGGGTCGAATGTTTGAATGAGATTGAAGAACGAGTGGGGCACGTCATTACGGATCCTTCTGATCCATTAACGGTGCTTTTAGGGCTCGACGAGTAAATTAAACCACAGACACAGCCCACTGAGTTTCTCGCCGGATCTTCTCAGTGGGTCGCGGTTCCGATCCGGTGGTAGATTCTGCGAAGCACTGCTCTTGCTAGCGTTCGTGTTAGCAACGTCGTCAGGTTTGAGCCCCGTGAGCTCACCTACTAGTTAAGGTTACGCTGATATAGCCTCTCAACGCTATCAGATTAGGTAGGGAAAAAAAATAGTGGGTGGGTAAAATGAAGAGTCATGTTGACTTTTTATCAATGTTCATGTGAGAACCCCACTGAAAGGATTCGATGTTGATAATTCGGGGTGAGGTCGCGAAGAGCTAAGCGGCATGCAGCGGTTTGGTACCCCTGACATTGCTGATGTCCATTTCTGAATACGTTGATAATAAAAAGGAAACTGTGTTGTGACAGCCCTAAACGAGACCGCGAGTTGAGATGGTACTGCTTGCTACCTGCCCATCCTACAGCAGCTAACACGTGCGCCGTTCGTTCCCCAGGGCCGGCCTGATCAAATACGAGAAGAAGTCCGGCCACTTCCAGCCGACGGAGCTGGGCCGCATCGCGTCGCACTTCTACTGCACGTACGAGACGATGCAGTCGTACAACCAGCTGCTGAAGCCGACGCTCGGCGAGATCGAGCTGTTCCGCGTGTTCTCGCTCTCCGCCGAGTTCAAGCACATCGCCGTCCGCGAGGAGGAGAAGCTGGAGCTGCACAAGCTCATGGAGAGGGTGAGGGCGATGACTCATTGAGAATTACAGGTTTTTTTTTTGCTTAGATGCGTGGACGAGCTTACAGCCCACCTGGTGTTAAGTGGTTACTGGAGCCCATAGACATCTATGACGTAAATGCGCCACCCACCTTGAAATATAAGTTCTAAGATCTCTGTATAGTTACAACGGTTCTATTGTCACGGTTCTAATGTCAAAGACTATACTTCTAGAATCAAACATTTTGCCCGCTGAGTTTCTCGCCGGATTTTCTCAGCGGGTCGCGATTCCGATCCGGTGGTAGATTCTGTGAAGCTCTGCTCTTGCTAGGACCAATGTTAGCATCACTTCCGGCTTTCCCCATGAGCTCACCTACATGTCGAGGCAAAGCTGAAATAGCTTCTCAAGGCTATCAAAATAAGTAGAAAAAAACAAGGTTTCGCCATAGCTACAACTATAAATAAATAATAATAAAGACAAACAATATTAATCTATTCTCAATTTGATCACAAACTTTGAACAATAAGTTTGACAATAAATAATGAGTATATATGTGCTGTGTTAAATACATGGTAGTGTGTGTAATGATTCTTTTTATTGATTTAATGTATATTTATGCATAATTTAAAAAAGTATTAACATTCTGCAGTCCTCTATATTCTCTATAAGTGTGGGAAATTTCATACTCCTCCGTCCGCGCAATTTTCGTAAAAAGGGGTACAACGTTTTTGCTTCAGGCACTGTCGAAAGGTTAATATATAAATAATTACAATTATTTGATATTTGACAGTTTTGACATTTCGACCATTTGACATTTTGAAGATGTATGTATGAGATAATAAATGAAATGTTGGAGTAAATAATGTACCTTGCCGATCCCCAGGTGCCGATACCTATAAAGGAGAGCATAGAGGAGTCTTCGGCGAAGATCAACGTGCTGCTGCAGGCGTACATCTCGCAGCTGAAGCTCGAGGGGTTCGCGCTGATGGCGGACATGGTGTACGTCACGCAGTCCGCCTGCAGGCTGCTCAGGGCCATCTTCGAGATTGTACTGTACAGAGGTGAGTCTGTCGGCGGCTGCTCCTGGAGGTAGCTGTGTGTGGTGTGTGTAGCTGTCCAGACTTTTTTTTATTGCCCTTGTAAGCAGACGAGCATACGGCCCACCTGATGGTGAGTGGTTAGCGTCGCCTATGGACTTCAACAATGCCAAGGGCAGAGCCAAACCACTGCCTACCGCTAATTGTCAGCTCATTCCAAAGCCGGTTCGTGCCGTGACGAGATAGATCTTTGGAAACGCACTGTGGATGACCGCAGTGGCTCCAGGTAGTATGGATGAACTCTACTCCGGTGGCGGGCGGTGCGATGGTGCAAACGAGATTATGGGATCACCTCAAACAATTTTTTTTTTATTGCTTAGATGGGTGAACGAGCTCACAGCCCACCTGGTGTTAAGTGGTTACTGGACCCCATAGACATGTACAACGTAAATGCGCCACCCACCTTGAGATATAAGTTCTAAGGTCTCAGTATAGTTACAATAAGGTCTCAAGTATAGTCTCAAGAATAGTACCCCGTGTATGCCCGCAGGCTGGGCGCAGCTGGTGGACAAGACGCTGGCGCTGTGCAAGATGGTGGACCGAAGGATGTGGCAGTCCATGTCACCATTGAGACAGTTTAAGAAGATACCCGAAGAGGTGAGTTTTTTTTTATATTTTAATTTTTAAACGAATCTGAATGTTGGGTGACGAAAGTAAAGCATAAAAGCTATAAAGCTTTTCAAAGAAAAGAAAAGACAAATTATTTTTATTTAAACAGAACTTGAAAAAATTATTAACCTTAAGATGTTATTACACAGTTAATTTTAAATTCGCTTCTTTCTGGTCTGTGTTTTCGTTTTATGACATATATAACTAATTCTTATTCAATTAATTTATTTTATTGTTTGATATTTTAATTAATTAATATATTTACTGACTGTCTTTAATGTTCATAATTTTAAATAATATTTGCATGCCGACCTGGTAGAAACACGCTGTTCTATAAAATAACTATCAACAACTTTGTAAACCATGTTTTAGCTAATAAAGTTTTAATAAATAAAAATATTTACTAACGATCACGCCACGTTAACTGGTCCCGCGCTAAGTTCGTAAAGAACTTGTGTTACAGGTACCAGATAACGGAAATAAATGTAATATTTTTATTATACACATACATATATTTAATATACACCCATAACCCTGGAAAAGACATTTTGTATTTCTCATACAAATATCTTCCCTTGGCGGGATTCGAACCCGCGACCCCCTTGTGTAGTGACCATGTCACTTACCACTACACCAGACGGCCGTTATAAGCTAATAAAGTTTGATTTAATTTGATTTGAAAGTGCACGCGGCAGAGATGAGAATGTTGAGATGTATGTGTGGAGTGACAAGAATGGACAAGATAAAGAATGAGTATATCAGAGGAAGTGTGAAAGTAATCCCGGTAATTAACAAATTAAAGAGCGGACGGTTACCGCGGTGTGGACATGTGACGCGTAGAGAGGAGATGCATGTGATTAGGAGATGTATGGAAACGATAGTGTTGCGCCTATTTCTCAGAGGTATCTTGAGGTGGCCAAGAAAATGAATAAATGCGTTTCATCATCATTATCCTGCTCTTCTCCCAGTTACCTGGGGTCGGCGCAACATGTTTTCTCCTTCCATACTCTTCTATCATATACCATTTCTTCGCTCGCTCTCCTCTTACCCATATCGTCTTTCACGCAATCCATCCATTTCTTCTTAGGTCTACCTCTTCCTTCCACATTCATAGTTAACATTTTCTTACCAACCTAATTTTCATTTCGTCTCATCACATGTCCATACCATCCCAAACGCGCACTTCTCAGCTTCTCTGTCACAGGTGCTACTTTCAGACTTCCTCTAACATATTCATTCATATTAAAATGAATAAATGCATTTACTTCTTCAAATACTCATTATATTATTTTTAATTACTTTACAAAATAGAATTGACGTGCGCGTCCATCTTTTTTCATCGTGTAGTTACTAAAAAAAATATTTTTTATTTTGACAATTGGTGCCGCTATTGCTTTTCCTGATTTGTGATTGATTCGTGCGATATGACGTCATCGTTGGCCAATCACAGCCATCGATGTATGCCGCGACGTTGATTCGTTAACGGGTAGTGTAAGGTAGAGGGGGGAGAGATCGACCGAAGAAGATATGGATGGAGTGTGTGAATGACGATATGAGAGAGAGAGGAGTGAGTGTTGAGGTGACGGCTGATAGAAGAGAATGAAAGAGAAAAAATAGCTGTGCCGACCCCACTCAGTGGGTTAAAGTGGAGAAAAAGATTTTAATTTTTGAATGTCTTACATTTGTCTGTTTGTATTGTCTTGTAATGTACGTCATCTGTCTTTTAAGTCGCGGCTCGTGGACCTATATGGCTAAATAAGTATATAATATTTCATAGATGTGTTCTTGCTAGGAAAGTAGGACTGGGAATGTCTAGTGGTTAGTGATATTAATATAGGTTCGATTCTTTGTTAAATATATGTCGTTTGAGGCCTTCAGTTATCTGGTCTCTTGTGTGCGTGAATCTGGAATGCTCATTGATGATAGCCCCGTATACGTTCTACAATCGAAATTCGACCGTAATCACTGATACATTAAGACTCAGATTCATTAATGTACATTATGTACTTTCCTTTTTTAGTTTTTTTTTATTGCCTAAGTAGGTGGACGAGCTCACAGCCCACCTGGTGTTAAGCGTTTACTGGAGCCCATAGATATCTACAACGTAAATGTGCCACCCACCTTGAGATATAAGTTTGAAGATCTCAGTATAGTTACAACGGCTGCCCCACCTGTCAAACCGAAACGCATTACTGCTTCACGGCCGAAAAAGGCAGGGTGGTGGTACCTACCCGCGCGGACTCACAAGAGGTCCTACCACCACACTCTGTTCTCACGATCTGCTTAAAGCATTACTGACCACATGTCCGGGAGCTACTCGCTTGTGACTCCTCTCAAACGCATCTCGTCCCCCCCCAGGTCATAAAGAAACTCGAGAAGAAGAACTTCCCGTGGGAGAAGCTGTACGAGCTGGGCCCCAACGAGATCGGCGAGCTGGTCCGCGCTCCGAAGCTGGGCAAGATGCTGCACAAGTACGTGCACCAGTTCCCGAAGCTGGAGCTCGCGACGCACATTCAGCCCATCACCAGGTCGACGCTCAGGGTCGAGCTGACCATCACGCCGGACTTCCATTGGGACGAGAAAGTGAGTCTTATTCGTATCAGTATTACTCATCATATTGTATGTGGGTTCCGCTCCGAAGGTCCACACGGCTGTTAAAGAACATCTGTGCAATAAAGATTACTATAAAGTCGAATGAGATTATCTAGAAGATTACACAAAGTGGGAATGAGTTGCTCGCTCCGGGCATTTCAATATTGCAATAATTGTTACGTTATAATACTCATTGTAAAAATCAATATTTAAAAAAAAAAGGACATGCCCGCTGAGTTTCTTGCCAGTTCTTCTCAGGACGGAGGCTAGTTTTTGTGAATTGGCGGTAGTTCTTTTTGACGTTCAACAAGTATGTACTTTCATTTGTGTTGAATAATTTTTTTTTGATTTGATTTGATTTGTTGGATTTTTGAGGCGTCAACCTCATGTCTCAGGGACTGCTCTCGCTAGGGCTGATGTCTGTCCACCAGTCCAGATGAAAAGCATCTGCCGAAGTTTACTGGCAGATATGTAGACAAAATAAAAGTTTGGACGGATGTTCTCTTGCCAATCTGAACAATAAATATTTTTGATTATAAACATTTGATTGTAAAATGTTCTCACAGACTTTTTTTTACTTACCTTAGCTGATAGCCTTGAGAGGCTATTTTAGCGTAACCTTAACTAGTAAGTGAGCTCACGGGGCTCAAACCTGACGACGTTGCTAACACGAACCCTAGCAAGAGCAGTGCTCCGCAGAATCTACCACCGGATCGGAAACGCGACCCACTGAGAAGATCCGGCGAGAAACTCAGTGGGCTGCGTCTATGGGTTTACTTACTCGACGAGTCCTTCGTTGCAAGCGACGGGTTCGACGAGAACGATGACCGATCTCACAGACCTATATTTGTGGACTCTATGATCGCGTCGCCGTCTAGCCGAGAGCATCACTCATCTTGGATTCCATGTCACATTCCCCTGTGACATTCCCCTATTGCATCTCAGGATACCCCATGCCCCATAGACATCTCGTTCCGAGTAGCCACCTTCTAAAGTGTTAATTCCAGTCCTCAACTCAGACTCTGGTCCATGGACACTATGCGGAACCGCAGCATACCAAAAATACGTTCCATCTATTCAATTTATTAAATACTTGATGTGTTGAATGATTTGTGCCCCTCGACTCATTGTCAACACGTCCCGCACAGATCCACGGACAGTCGGAGGCGTTCTGGATCCTGGTGGAAGACGTGGACTCTGAGGTGATCCTCCACCACGAGTATTTCCTGCTCAAGCAGAAGTACTGCAAGGACGAGCACCAGGTGAAGCTGTTCGTGCCGGTCTTCGAGCCCCTGCCTCCTCAGTACTTCCTGAGGGTCGTGTCTGATAGGTAAGAACGAAGCTGGGGCTGCTGAAGTCGATCTTCTCTCCTCTTGTGAGTCCGCACGGGTAGGTACCACCACCCTGCCTATTTCTGCCGTGAAGCAGTAATGCGTGTCGGTTTGAAGGGTGGGGTAGCCGTTGTAACTATACTGAGATCTTAGAACTTATATCTCAAGGTGGGTATCGCATTGACGTTGTAGATGTCCATGGGCTCCAGTAACCACTTAACACCAGGTGGGCTGTGAGCTCGTCCACCCATCTAAGTAATACAAAAAAAAAACCTGGATCGGCAGCCAGCTCACATCCATATACGTCTCCGCGTCTTTGGATGCTTTTTTCTAGGTTAACTCGTGCCCTTCTACGCACAAACACCAACGATTAATATTCGACCATAATCATTGACACTTCAAGCTTCTGTTACTTCTTTTTGCAAGGGGTATTTTGAAGTGAAACTTCTTTAGGTGCGTTGAGAGTAAAATTTAACTCGCGACCGTTTCGTTACGGCTAGAGAGACAAGATACAATGTAGAACGAGATAGGGTGAGAGAATAGACAGAACGTCTCGCGAACCACTCGATCGTTGAGAGAGGGAGAAAGCGAGCTAGGTCGTTTCTCTTATACACAGCATTCCCTATTACAAAAGAAATTTGATTTAAGGATGAAAAATGAAGAAAACCACAATACTACACATCGAACGCGCACATTTTTTTTTCTTTTTAATTTTTGTTATTGGTAACATTAAAGTTTATTAGTAGTTACCAAGTATAAAAATAGTTTGATGAACAGATGAGAATGGCACCAGGAAGTAGTTATCATGATGCGTCCACGGCCATTTAGTCGAAATCACAATGGCTTCCCCACGTTTCGAACTATAACTCAGTATGGCGTTCGTACCCGCACCCGGGCTTCTTACGTCCATTACTAATAATCGCTTTAACTGTGATTTTATTTTCAAGTTTTTCTTAATGCTTCTTAGTAAAATAGTGTTTCGAAACTCAGATGGATAGCGGCGGAGACGCAGCTTCCGGTGTCGTTCCGGCACCTCATCCTGCCCGAGAAGAACTTCCCGCCGACGGAGCTGCTGGACCTGCAGCCGCTGCCCATCTCGGCGCTCCGGAACGCCAAGTACGAGGAGCTCTACAACGACACCTTCCCGCAGTTCAACCCCGTGCAGACGCAGGTGGGCCTCCCCCCAACCCCCCTCCCCCACTACATGATCGTACCGACGCCTGAGATATGTCAAACTCGTGCGTGTTACACCGTCTTTTCGCATTAAAAGCGTACAATTTCCTATAATAAATATTCGATATTGAGTTATTATAAAATCAAACCCGCAAAATTCTAATTTGCGTAATTACTGGTGGTAGGACGTGTTGTGAGTCCGCGCGGGTAGGTACCACCGCCCTGCCTATTTCTGCTGTGAAGCAGAAATGCATTTCGGTTTGAAGGGCGGGGCAGCCGTTGTAACTATACTGAGACCTTAGAACTTATACCTCAAGGTGTGTGGCGCATTTACGTTGTAGATGTCTATGGGTTCCAGTAACCACTTAACACCAGGTGGGCTGTGAGCTCGTCCACAAATCTAGGCAATAAAAAAACAAAATACTGTCAAAAGAGCGTAGTTTAGTTTACCTATGTTTTGACTACTTTTAACAAAATTAATACATAATTTTATCTTACTCTAAAAGACAGATAATGTAAATGGTAAAAAATATAAAAGTTAATGTTGCAAAGTTGATTAATATTTAGAATATCATAAAATATGTTAAACCTTTAAAACACTCTCCTGCAAAATTAATAAGTTTTGAGATTATACAGTTTTAATGCGAAAAGACGATAATTATGCCAATCCCACTCCCCTCCCCTTGGTAATGGGACCAAGGAATGAACAATAGCGGTTTCTAAGTGCTCTCTCAGTGCACTGCTACTGGGAAACTGGTGCTCACTCTTGGGAGGGCTTGGTCTTTGTAAAGTATTATAGTTTCCACTTGGGCAATTAGAACTTGGATTTCAGGTCTCCTCAACGTATTATCCTCAATCGATCAGTGGAAGTTATTTGCGACTATTTCTTAAGATTTTTTTTTATTGCTTTGATGGGTGGATGAGTTCACAACTGGTGTTAAGTGTTACTGGAGCCCATAGACATCTACAACGTTAACTGACAACACCTGCCCCGTCCTTCAAATCGAAACGCATTACTGCTTCACGGCAGAAATAGGCAGGGTGGTGGTACCTACTCGTATTTTATTACAACAATGTGGGAGGTTCGAGCACACAGTACAGTCCGGGGTGGGTTGCGGCAGGTGTTCAACGCGGTGTACAACTCTGACGACAACGTGTTCGTGGGCGCGCCGTCGGGCTCGGGCAAGTCGCTGGTGGCGGAGCTGGCGCTGCTGCGGATGCTGTCCCGGGACGCGGGCGGGCGCGCCGTGTACCTGCTGCCCAAGGACGCGCTGGCCGACATCGTGTTCGCGCACTGCTACCACAAGTTCGGGACCAAGTTCAATCTTAAGGTGAGCGAGCGGCACTGGTGTGGGGGGCAGACCCCCCCGCCTTCCCCCATTAAATGACACCTCTGCACCTTTTTTTTTCAGACAACATGTCCGTATGTGTATATAGTATCATTGAAATATACTTAAAATTAACAAGACCAATCAAATAAAAAAAGATACATTTGCGCTCTGTTTTCTTTCAAATTCTGTTCTTATTTGTTCGTTATTTAGTTGTTATCTAGTTATTTATTTTACACCCCCCCCCCTCTGCCAGGGCACCAAAGTAAAGTACATTCCCATTTGTTTTTTTAAATTTTTTTTACAATAGACAACTTTTCGTATCTTTTTTTCGAACCTTTTTCGTATCTTTTTTTTACCTTTTCACGAATTCGTTTGTCAAACACGAAATCAAAGATCAATATTTCTAGAAATATAACTGTTTCGTTCACACACTCACTCACTCTCTCATTCATCCATTCATTCATTTATTCAACCGAATAAATAATTGAACTGTTTCGTTCACACACTCACTCCCTCTCTCATTCATCCATTCATTCATTTATTCAACCGAATAAATAATTGGTTCTTGCAGGTGGTCCAGCTGACCGGCGAGACTGCTACGGACCACAAGCTGCTCAACAAAGGGCAGATCATCATTACCACGGCCGACAAGTGGGACATACTCTCTCGGAGGTAAGGACCAGGCACACGCCTCTACTGGACCTTAATGGACCTCATGATGCGACCACGTGGGAATAGATAGAGCCGCAGGTGGCCAGTTGCTGAGTAACAGTAGAGACAATAAACAAACACTATTGGATATTCTATTGATATTGAGCTAAATATGTCGGGTTGAACTCCTCCCGATCATTACATGTGTCCTCGAGGTCAGTCAGAAGCAGCAAAATATCGAATAAAAATAATGAAATTAGAATCGTCAATAAGGCAAAACATCGATTTTGCTGAATGCACCTTAAGTAGATAGAGATAAGGGTTATAACAAAACGTTTTTGCGTGCGTGCAATATAATATTTTTATATAGAAGATAAGGCGTGAAATCAATTATTAAATAGAATAAAATACAAAACTGACTGAATAAAAAAAACTAATTAAAAACTCGAAAATAATACTCTTACATAAAAATTGACGGTAGAGACAAACTAACAGAGAAAAACAAAATAATTCCAGTAATTTTCAATTGCTAATTAACATTAAAATATATCTCAAAAGTTAATATTTTAAATGTTACACTGCTTTAGAAAATAATCAGTTTTTTTTTCATTTCCTGAACATTTTACGTTTTCAGAGATGTGCCCTTTTCGAAATTGCATACTCAATTGTATAAGTTGATAAAAAAATGCTATGCAATAGCTTTACCGCGGCAGTCCCCGAGTGCCATACGTGCTTTTTTTTTATTTCCATAATGATCATCGTAGATGGAAAGTACGCAAGAGCGTCCAGAGCGTGTCGCTGCTGATCGCGGACGCGCTGCAGCTGCTGGGCGGCGAAGAGGGGCCGGTCGTGGAGGTGGTCTGCTCGAGGATGAGGTACATCGCCTCTCAGACAGGTGAGGGAATCATTTCACCTTCAACATTATCAGCCATGGTTAGTGTAGCGATTTGAAGTTATTAATCAGGGCTCACTCATACCTTCGGCGCGCACTGTGCGGTACCGTGGGTTTCATGGAGTCGGAGTGGTGGGGCTCGACGGGGTTTAGTCGGTAGTCGGTTTTGCGGGGTAGCTCTTGCGTGGCTGACGCCGTGCGGTGCCTCTTCTTCTTCTCCCTGTTCTTCTCTGGAGGCCCCGGAATCCGACATAACCCGGTCTCTTACCCCCCTCGACCGGGTATCCGTAAATGGATTCCCCAGCGTTAAAAATAAAATAAAAAAGGGTTCACTCATATCGATATTGGTAATCAGGTATTAAGTGGCCGGGGCCCATGGACAGCATTTATATTAATTACACTATGTTGCTATTAATTTTCACCACAATTTTACCAGAAAAATTTTGTTTATGCGAAACTGTGTTATATATGTTTTTTTTAAATTCCTCATTCAACGTATTAATGTTCAATTAATTGTATTTTTTAATTTGAAGACGTTATGAAGTATAGTGCGTGCGGAACTAGTTGGCGGCGCCTTAGGTGGCGACAGGGGCGAGGGGGCGGGTTGCCTGCTGCTCGTAACGCACATGAGATTAGACACTGATGACTAAATAATAAAAATAAACTAATACTCTTGTCACTAAACAACAGACTTATGAGTGATTCAGTGCAAGAAAAATATTTTTTTTAAAACTGAACAGTTTTAAAGATTTTAAATGATAAAGGTTTTTCTTTACACACACATATATATATATATATATAAACGGTAACATATTGTTACGCGCTGGGCTTCGGGATAAATAAAACTTGCACCGAAGTACAAATTAACACTCTATTAAACACTTTAAAATTCTCACTTCGCTTCAGATTATCCGTTCGTTGTCTCGCTTCGAGTAGAACCGATTACTGACTGCCTTCATGTCATATCTGCAACGCTTTTACAGTCGACGCGACAACTCTACAATTATCGAGAACATTCCGGATAGGGCGAGTTATTTCGATATGTGTTTCCGCTCTTTGATAACAGATGGCGTTGCACTTTATGAGCGTTCTCGATGTTACTAGTTCTTTTGATATTCGACGACAGATGGCGTTACTCTAACCGACGTAACAATGTGCATGTCTGTTCCCAGGGAAGCCGATCCGTATAGTGGCTTTGTCGCTACCGTTGGCCGACGCCCGCGACGTTGCCCAGTGGCTCGGCTGCAACGCGAATGCCACCTTCAATTTCCACCCCAGCGTCAGATCCCTCCCACTAGAGTTGCACATCCAGGTAATTCACTAATAAATTATTATAGGAAACATTAGGGAACACAGCGTTAGGGATCTCCATGATGACCTGGAACTTGACTCAGTCAGTAAGTATCTACGGTCGGCATCATTGTGCCACTTTGAGAAGGCGGTACGACATTAGAACCCTCTTGTCGTGGCCGCTGGAAACTACATACCCGATCCTGTAGACCGAATGGTAAACAGTCGACGTCGTCCTAAACATGTCATTAGGGATCCTCCCGATCCATTAATGGTGCTTTTAGGTACCACAAGCACCGGTCACCATCCTCCTAAATTCCTAATCCTCCCGAATTAACCCACAGACCCACTGAGTTTCTCGTCGGATCTTCTCAGTGGGTCGCGTTTCCGATCCGGCGGTAGATTCTGCGAAGCACTGCTCTTGCTAGGGCCAGTGTTAGTATCACTCCGGTTTGAGCCCCGTGAGCTCACCTACTAGTTAAGGTTACGCTAATATAGACTCTCAAGGCTATCAGCTTAGGTAGGAAAAAAAATGCGTTAGGGGTGAGGTCCAATATATGTAGTGAGATATTAATTCACTCAACTAATGGTAAAAATAATCTAGAATGAATTAACACCTACTGGGAACAAGTCACATAAATTTATCCGTCTCCAAATTAGGATTCTTTTTACTATAAGACATGAGTAATTCAGAATGAATAAGCAATAAAATACTTAATTGCTTTTTCCGTTATATAATAATAAAACAATATTTAAAGTCCTTAATCTCTTTTAAAATTAATATTAATAATTAAACAGTAAACATTATTAATAAAATATACAAAACTGAATTCTGTTTTTACTCAATGACATTGAATGACACCGAAGAAAATCTTTTTTAAAAACTAAAGTTTTAAATAAATAAAGGTTTTTCTTTACATACGTCCTTTAAACGTTTATAAATATATACATACTAGTTAAATACCGAGCAATTTTTTTTTTGGAGTTTACTCCTTTAGAATCGATTTACATATATAGGCCCGGGGTATGAAAATTATGGGGACCAAAATCGTACTAGCATGTCACACGAAATGCGTTATGCGCCTAATTGGCTCCTGATTGCGTGATGCGTGCGCGCGCCAATCAGGAGCCAACGCGCGGCCGCGTTATCGCAGGTGACGCCGGGCTGCTGCGCCGGCAGTCCGCCACAAAGCCTCGTACTGATCGCGCGTTTCTCTCATTATTGTATTTTCATATATTTGTTAGTCGTTTGTTTTGTGTCTCGTTAATTTGTTAATAATCTGTAGTGTATCGTGTTGTCGTAATATAGAACTATTTCTCGTATTGTTTCGTTTAATTTTTTATATCCAGTAAACTCCAGTCGTGCGTCGGAGCGGACACACACACTTTTTTTTATATATCGTGTTTTTTAGAAATTACATTTAAATAAATACCAATTACATCTTGATAAAATGATGACATATGAATTATATTTTTCGATCTTACCGTATAATAAAAAAATATGAACTGGTTATTTAAAGAAAAAATCAAAATTATCGATAAAGTTGATTATTGAAAACACGAATAAAACAACATTTTCTGAAAATAAATCGTAGCTGGATCGATTTATCGCCCTCGAAATCCCTTGTATATTAAATTGTATGAAAATCGTTGGAGCCGTTTCCGAGATTTAGATTATATATATATACATATATTTATATACAAGAATTGCTCGTTTAAAGTTATAAGATAAGGTATAGATAATAAACTCTCAAACAAAGAGCGAACGAACAATTTCGCCACTTAAATATTTTCTTGATGCGGGAAACGAACCCACGACCCTCGGTGCAACAGTCGGAGGCGCTAATTACTGCACCGCCGATTCGGTCAATTACTTCAAAAGTAAGCTCACGAGAACTAATGTTACAGGGCTTCAACATATCGCACGCGCCGACCCGGCTGACGGCCATGACGAAGCCCATCTACAACGCGATCCGGCGGCACGCGGGCACCCGCCCCTGCGCAGTGTTTGTGAGCTCGCGCCGCGCCGCCCGCCTCCTCGCCGCCGACCTGCTGGCGCTGGCGGCCGCGCGCGCAGCCCCCGCTGCTTTCCTGCACGCCTCGCGCGACCTGCTCGCGCCCTTCCTCGACGCCGTGCAGGACAAGGTCTCTGCACCTACTGTACTACAGCCTCCCCGGACCTTATAAACCGAAACGTGTTACAACTTCACGGCAGAAATAGGCAGGGCGGTGGTACCTATCAGTGCAGACTCACAAGATGTCCTACCTACGGCTACTGATAAATATCTCGTAATCCATTAAACTACTGCCAAAAATATTTTTGATAGTTTCAAATCTTTTTGAGACCTATTCACTCTGTTAAAACTCTCTCACTCTGTTGTTTTGCTAACAGCTGATACACGAGGTCAACGACCTCCCTATACTTTAAAATATTCTATACACAGCTAGCACATAAACATACTATAAGTGTGATCTCGCACGTCCAGATGCTGAAGGAGACGCTGTCCGCGGGCGTGGCGTACCTGCACGCGGGCGTGTCCGCCGGCGACCGGCGCGTGGTGCAGCAGCTGGTGGAGTGCGGCGCCGCGCAGCTGTGCGTGGTCGCCGCCGAGCTGGCCTGGAGCTTCGCCGCGCACGTGCACACCGTCATCGTGGCCGACACGTGCACGTGAGTCGCGCACGCTACCCGGGGGAGGGGCGGACACTTGGCTTCGAGTGGCTCAATACTTACTCTTGTAGAGCCGTTCGCTGTTTCGCTTCGAGTAGTTCCGATTACTGACTGACTGCGTGCCATCTCTACATCGCTTTTATAGTCGATACCTCATTCTTAAAATTATCGAGAATATTCCACACATATATAGTTGTAGTTTCCGCTATCTGTCAATAGATGGCGTTGTACTTCTCGAGTAGTCTAGGTGCTTCGATATTCGTTCGACTATTCGGCGATAGATGGAGTTACTCTTACCGGCGTAACAGTATTATTGTTGTATGCACGACACTTTTTTTTTCCTAACTAAGCTGATAGCCTTGAGAGGCTATATCAGCGTAACCTTAACTAGTAGATGAGCTCAGGGGGCTCAAACCGGAGTGATGCTAACACTAGTCCTAGCAAGAGCCGTGCTTCGCAGAATCTGACACCGGATCGGAAACGCGACCTACTGAGAAGATCCGGCGAGAAACTCAGTGGGCTGTGTCTGAGGGTTTTCACGATACTGGTTCACGTTCCTACTAACTAACTTTCGTATCCTGGTCAGGTACAACGGCAAGCTGCACTCGTACGAGCAGTACCCGATAACGACGGTGCTGCAGATGATCGGGCGCGCCTGCCGCCCGCTGGAGGACGACCACTCGGTGGCGGTGCTCATGTGCGCCGCGCACCACAAGACCTTCTTCACCAAGCTGCTCAACGACTGTCTGCCGCTAGAGGTGAGGCGACACCTAGAACCTCATTGGGTTCAGACTAGAGATGAAACCGGATATCCTGTAACTATCCGGTATCCGCCCTATCCGGCCATGTTTTTACTCTCCGGCCGAATAGTAAGTCAGTACCCGGCCGGATTTCGAATAGTAATAGTAATGAAATAGGTACTCAACAAATGTTCACGATTGATTTCCACGGTGAAGGAATAACATCGTGTAATAAAAATCAATCCCGCAAAATTATAATTTGCGTAATTACTGGTGGTAGGACCTCTTGTGAGTCCGCGCGGGTAGGCACCACCGCCCTGCCTGTTCTGGTTTGAAGGGCGGGGCAGCCGTAACTATACTGAGACCTTAGAACTTATATCTCAAGATGGATGACAACATTTACGTTGTAGATGTCTATGGGCTCCAATGACCGCTTAACACCAGGTGGGGGGGGGGGACTGTGAGCTCGTCCACCAACCTAAGCAATAAATAAAATACGGTTTGATGAGTTCGCCACCCACCTCGTGTGTATGTTTACGAGCTTATAGCTTAAGGCGTTCTCGAATGATCAATTGAAATTGATGATGCCATCATGAGAGAAAGAAAATAACGCTAAGTACATTGATACATAATTTGAACACTGAAAATAATACAAATATGTAATATAGACAAATTATAAATGCATAATATGTAATAAGTATGTATGATAAATATAAATATCCATATGACGGTGCATGTTTCATGGTGTATAGTAGACAAAAATAAAATTCAATTTATTTTCTTTCTTTTTTTACCTATGGCAATTGTCTTGCGACGTCATTGTTGCCAGTGTCGAGTTTATAAAAATCTTTTATTATTAAATACACACATATTCTCTTATGTTATTTATTTAAGTTCAACAAAAAGTCCAAATTTACAATACGATTCGCTACGGAAGCTGTTTTTTTCTTTTTCTTTTTTCTATACAATAAATTCTTAAATTTGACTACGGTACTTTTGTTATTTAACAGAGTCACTTGGACCACAGACTCCACGATCACATGAACGCCGAGATAGTGACGAAGACTATAGAGAACAAGCAAGACGCCGTCGACTACTTGACCTGGACATTCCTCTACCGGCGACTCACGCAGAACCCCAACTACTACAACTTACAGGGGGTCACGCACAGGTGACGTGTAGCTCCACTCCTGTAAGGGGGACCAGGGGGGGGCAACGGGGGTCTAGCAACACTAACTAACGGTGTAGTCAGAGACTTTTTGGCGGGAACGCGAGGAGTGAAGCTGTGTGATTTGTTTTATTTTGTCTATTTAGTGTTTCTTCAGGTTTAAATGCGTAATAACGGTGGTTTATTAACTGTTTAATATCTGTGAAAGATGCTCATATGTGGGAAAATAAAACAAAGCCGCTGGACGTAACTTCTCGGGATCCTACAAAAAGTCAACTGAAAAAGTCTCAGTAAATGACCACCATTTTACTGAGATTATATTTCATCCCAGTTGATTAATGTCTCAAATTAATCATCTTCATTTCATTTCATTTCATCAGTTTTCATTAAAATAATAATATAAATTAAAATAAGACATGACCTAAAGGTCTTAGTTACCAGGTCATAAAATCCCTTAAAAAACAAAGATTCTATACTAGCGTTTTTCATTTATGCCTTAGACCAGGGGTTCCCAAATTTATTTTCTCTACTGCCCTACTTTGAGAATATTTTTTTTTTGTGCCCCCTTTATTTCACCTACTTAAAAACCACTATAGCGATAGCTCAGTCCTGCTTTATGAAGTTACAAATCGCTTCCTAAGCCTCTATACAACGCCCCCATTTTTTTTTCTGGGTCTCTTACCGCCCCCCTTTAGGCCTGCAGCGCCCACGAGGGGGCGTTATCGCCCACTTTAGAAAAGGCTGCCTTAGACGGTGTTGTCACTAATTTGCAGGCACCTGTCGGACCACCTCTCCGAGCTGGTGGAGACTACGCTGACGGATCTTGAGCAGTCCAAGTGCATCGCGATAGAGGATGAAATGGATGTCCAGCCACTGAACTTGGGGATGATAGCCTCATACTACTATATCAACTATACGACCATAGGTAACCTGGGCGTCTTTTTTTTTAACGGCTTAGATGGGTGGACGATCCCACCTGGTGTAAGTGGTTACTGGAGCCCATAGACATCTACAACCTTAATGCGCCACCGATCTTGAGATATAGGTTCTAAGTTCTTAGTATAGTTACAGTGGCTACCCCACCATTTAAACCGAAACGCATTACTGCTTCACGGCAGAAATAGGCGGGGTAGTGGTACCTATTCGCGCTGACTCACAAGACGTCCTACCACCAGTAGAAACTCCTTCTCTCGGGACTGTTCCTCCACCTAGAGCCGGACCTGCTGGTGTATCGTAAAGAACTCAGGAAGGCTCATGAGGGGTCTTGGGAAGACGGGAGTTGATCATAACGTTCCCACAAATATTGTATCAAGTCTTGAATGAATTTTATTTATAATTTTTTTTAAGAGATCAAGGCGATGATTTAAAAAAAAAAATCTTTCTTTCAGAACTGTTTAGTTTGTCTCTGACGAGCAAAACGAAGATCCGCGGCCTGCTCGAGATAATATCGTCGGCGGCCGAGTACTCGGACCTCTGCATCCGACACCGGGAGGAGAACATCATCAAATCTCTCGCCTCCAAGTGAGTAGACGTTCTGTTTGTTCGTCATCTTCATGTCATTCTTCAAACGCAGCGGTCGGGGGGAACCGGGGTGAATTACCCCCAAATGGGGTAAAATGAAATTTGAGGGGGGTAAAAATAAAATAATATTAATAACAATCACGCCACGTTAACTGGTCCCGTGCTAAGTTCGTAAAGAACTCGTGTTACAAGTACCAGATAACGGAATATTGTAAGATTTTTATTATACACGTACATATATTTAATATACATCCATAACCCTGGAAAATACATTTTGTATTTATCATACAAATATCTTCCCTTGGCGGGGATTCGAACCCGCGACCCCCTTGTGTAGTGACCATGTCACTTACCACTACACCAGACGACCGTTCGAAACTTTTGTGAGTAAAAAGTATATATCTATCATCATTGCTGTCTATTGATGGCATGCATTGCTATGCGGATGACAGCACGGGGGATGCGCGATATATCGGCCATCAGAGTCTCTCTCGAAGCGTGGTGCAAGAGAGACGATCAAAACTTGTGTCTGAAGGGGAGAGCTCTCTGGGGCGAGTCTCCAAATGGGGTGAATTGAACTTGGTTCAATTCAACCCGTTAAAGGCACAAGTTTGCGCGTTCACTGCGAAGAAGGACCCCTTTGTCATGGCGCCGCAATTCCAAGGAGTATCCCTGCAACCTTCCGAGAGTATTGGGATACTTGGGGTCGACATTTCGAGCGATGTCCAGTTTCGGAGTCATTTGGAAGGCAAAGCCAAGTTGGCGTCCAAAGTGCTGGGAGTCCGCAACAGAGCGAAGCGGTACTTCACGCCTGGACAAAGGCTTCTGCTTTATAAAGCACAAGTCCGGCCTCGCGTGGAGTACTGCTCCCATCTCTGGGCCGGGGCTCCCAAATACCAGCTTCTTCCATTTGACTCCATACAGAGGAGGGCCGTTAGGATTGTCGATAATCCCAATCTCACGGATCGTTTGGAACCTCTGGGTCTGCGGAGGGACTTCGGTTCCCTCTGTATTTTGTACCGTATGTTCCATGGGGAGTGCTCTGAGGAATTGTTCGAGATGATACCGGCATCTCGTTTTTACCATCGCACCGCCCGCCACCGGAGTAGAGTTCATCCGTACTACCTGGAGCCACTGCGGTCATNGACTTCGGTTCCCTCTGTATTTTGTACCGTATGTTCCATGGGGAGTGCTCTGAGGAATTGTTCGAGATGATACCGGCATCTCGTTTTTACCATCGCACCGCCCGCCACCGGAGTAGAGTTCATCCGTACTACCTGGAGCCACTGCGGTCATCCACAGTGCGTTTCCAGAGATCTTTTTTGCCACGTACCATCCGGCTATGAATGAGCTCCCCTCCACGGTGTTTCCCGAGCGCTATGACATGTCCTTCTTCAAACGAGGCTTGTGGAGAGTATTAAGCGGTAGGCAGCGGCTTGGTTCTGCCCCTGGCATTGCTGAAGTCCATGGGCAACGGTAACCACTCACCATCAGGTGGGCCGTATGCTCGTCTGCCTATAAGGGCAATAAAAAAAAAAAAATAAAAAAAAAATTTCTACTTAATCAACAAAGTGCGGAGGCAGGGATTCTGTGAATTATGCCACATGTTTAAATTTAGGTATTATTAGATTATTTTTTTATAGATTAGTTTATATTATTTTAGTTTTAGTAGTTTAGTTTATTATTTTAGAGATTAGATTAGTTTATAGATTAAGAGTCATTCCCGATCCTGCGGACAGAATGGAAAGCAGTCGACGTCGCCCAAAACACGTCATCTCGGATCCTCCCGATCCACTAACGGTGCTTCTAGGTACTTCAAGCACCGGTCACCGTTCTCGTCGAACCCGTCACTTGCGACGAAGGGCTCGACGAGTAAATTAACTCTCAGACACAGCCCACTGAGTTTCTCGTCGGATCTTCTCAGTGGGTCGCGTTTCCGATCCGGTGGTAGATTCTGCGAAGCACTGCTCTTGCTAAGGTTCGTGTTAGCATCGTCGTCAGGTTTGAGCCTCGCGAGCTCACCTACAAACGTTAGGGCGAAGCTGAAATAGCCTCTCAAGGCTATCAGCATAGGTAGGCAAAAAAAAAAAAAATTAAGATTACAGGCAGCGGCAGAATAGGAGCGATAGTTTCAGCTATCACAAAGCTGAGCCGCGGCCTTTTTATCTCCACTGTCAGTTTAATTAATATATTGTAATATTGTTTAGATAGAATTAGAAATTGATGTCATATAAATTGAAAAGTTATTTGTGTTGTGTAGTAAATAAATGTAATTATTATTATTATTATATTGAAGTGAAACTTCTTTAGAATCGTTAATTTTTTACTTATTGTTTTCTTTTAAAAATTATCATGGGGGCTATAATATGAAAGAGGCTAAAAAGAAGCGATTTCGTTTTTTTTGTTTTTTTTTTCTTCACCATGGGGTAATATCAAATTACACAAAAATATTTTGGGGTAACAATTAAAAAAGTTCCCCGACCGCTGTTCAAATGCGATGGAGGGTACTTACTTACTTGGCATTGCTGTCGATGATCGAAGGCTACCTACAACAGACCTGTGAGATCAATATTTTTTCCTGTGAGATCATTATTATTTATTTTTCATTTTTTAGTTGAATTTTAATCTTTTTTTTAATATTGAATTGTCATCGGTCCTTAATAAGTATACCAAATTTCGAGTTAATCCGACGTTATGAAGGGGGGTCAAAATCATGTTTAAAGATTCCGTTACAAACACACATACGTCTGAAGCTAATAAAAGCGTATGAAAAAAAACGTGTGCAATTCACACGTGTAAGAAGTGAAACCTTCAAAAATTAAAATATTCTAAATATTCTAAAATGTCTAAGTATATGTAAAATTTTGTTAGTTGTTTTTTTAGTTAAAATTTCGTTAGTAAATAATTGTAAATCATCTTTTATAGTATGAGGTAGTGCCCTCTGTGAATTGATATTTTAACTTCACGTCTAATGTGTTCTATCTCGTTCTCTCGCCGGCTGAATCCTATACATTTATGTATTTGTGTCTCTATGGACTTATTTTTTCGTTTCATCGAGTTTCAAATCACAACGATTCTAAAGAAGTTTCACTTCAAAATAAGAATGGAGTCGGAAAGTTTTCCTACGCTTGCCGTTAGGGGCGCTGTTCCAACTGCATACAAAATTAAGTTAACTTTTACGCTATCGAGAACGTTAACGCACTCGCACTGAGACCCCCCCTGTCCCCGTCCGTTGCAGGGTCCCGCACAAGCCGACGGCCCCGTCTGGCGGCGCCGTGCGGCACAACGACCCGCACGTGAAGGCGCACGTGCTGCTCCAGGCGCACCTCTCCAGGATGCAACTACCCGCCGAGCTGCAGGCCGACACCGCGCTCGTGCTCACCAAGGTACGATCTTTGCACTCTCTTTTAACCCTTCGACTGCCATGTATTAAAGGTCCAGAGCGCCCTAATGGCCACCATAACAGTATAAATATAAAAATGAATTGCTGTTCTTTAGTCTCGCTAAAATTCGAGAACGGCTGGACCGATTTGGCTAATTTTGGTCTTCAATTGTTTGTGGAAATCCAGAGAAGGTTGAAAAGGAAGATAGATAAATATGAGAATGCTTGGAATTAAATAAAAATAACAATTTTGTTTTTTCTTTGATTTGTTTTAAGTTTATTTTATACTAAAGTGTAGGTCTTTTGTTTATCGATTGAGGCACTACGAAGTCTGCCGGGTCAGCTAGTCTAGCAATGAAAAAAAAACCGCACAACAGATGGCGTGCGCGTTCGTTGTCAACAAACGAAAGCATCGGTGCAGCTATTCAATAGTAGTGTTTGTCCCAGGCGCTTCGGCTGATCCAGGCGTGCGTGGACGTGGTGTCCAGCAGCGGGTGGCTGGCGCCCGCCGTGGCCGCCATGGAGCTAGCCCAGATGGTGACGCAGGCCATGTGGGCCAAGGACTCGTACCTAAGGCAGCTGCCGCACTTCACGCCCGAGCTGGTGCAACGCTGCGCTGACAAGGTAACCTCGCTGTGTTGGGGGGGAAGCTGGAGATAAACCGGCATATAAGTAACTAGTTTATGCCCGCGACTCTGTTCGCATAACGCTAAATTTTACCCCCCACTTCATTTACGTAGAAAGTGAAAATATATTTGAGTTATAGAATGTTAAGGAGCTATTTTGAAACATTATTTATTGGTGCTCCACTTGTATGGGCCTTACCGTGATGTTATATAGTCTTCTCTGTTCACTTTTTACCTATATGTGATTTTGATTGTGGAAATAAATATATTTGTTTATTGTTTTAGCTATTTTTTTTAATATTATATGTTTGTATTGTAATGTTTGTTTTCCAAATAAATAAACAACAATAACACTGAAAGAATTTTTCAAATCGGACCAGTAGTTCCTGAGATTAGCGCGCTCAAACAAACAAACTTTTCATCTGTATAATATTATTCATATATACTGGGTGTTAAGAGACCGCTTCCGAAAACCAAGACAGACGATAGTACTAATGGCACCTTTGATGATGGGACGTAAAACAATCGATCCTGATTTAAAAAAAAATGTGTGCGTGTACTAGTGTACACACGTAAGAAGTGAAACTTATTTATGGCCTTATTTTTCGAAAAATGATCTACATGCAACTTTCTAGAAATTGGTTAAATAAAGTTAAATTAGATAAAGTTTAAACAAAAGGATTTTATTATCATAGACATGAATACAAAAAAGTTAAATTAGATAAAGTTTAAACAAAAGGATTTTATTATCATAGACATGAATACAAAAAAGTTAAATTAGATAAAGTTTAAACAAAAGGATTTTATTATCATAGACATGAATACAAAACAGATGGCGCGTAACGGAAAAATGTGACGCGTAACCGAAAAATGTGACGGTAAATTTTTTTCCAACGCCGATAAGGAAGTTTCACTTCAAAAAAAGCATGTTTTAAAACGTTTTATTAGCATTATTTACGCTCCATTATGTACTACAGCTAAATGAAACGATAGTTTCATAAAAAATACATTACTAAAAAAACCAGCAATGAAACACAAAATTAAAAACAGTTGATGCTCGGGTCAACGACCGCCCGGGCGCGGCGCTGATACCGCGCTCCCCATAACTTACAATTTTGTAGGTACAAAAGTTACGTTTTCGGAAGTACATAGTCCTAAAACTCAATATACATGTCTTAATTTTTAATATTAATAATTAATAACTTTTAATAACTTTTTGGATGTTTAACTACATTTAAATACACAAATGTTCACATTCATAATTATTAGTAGATATAGTCCGGCCGCTGAAAGTTTGCGCTCTTGATTAAAATACAGTCCGGTCGGAAAATATAGTAATAAATGAAGTGTAATCTAGAACGCAGATCTGTGTTTCTCCCCCAGGGCGTGGAGACCGTGTTCGACGTGATGGAGCTGGAGGACAGCGCCAGAGCCAAGCTGCTGCAGCTGTCTCCCGCCGAGATGGCAGACGTGGCGCGCTTCTGTAACCGGTACCCCAACGTGGAGCTCAACTATGAGGTGCGATGATCTACTATTAGAGACATTAATATGGCGAGGGGGACCCACTGGTTGATTTACACTAGGGGCAGCCGGGGCAAGTGCCCAGGGCGGCTAAATTTTTAGAGCGGCAAAATTTTTAGTGAAAAAAATAATATTTTTTTATTGTTTTTTATTGCTTTGATGGGTGGGTGAGCTCACAGTCCACCTAGTGGTAAACAACTACGACGTAAATGTGCCGCCCATCTTCAGATATAAATTCTAAAGTCTCAGTACAGTTACAACGGCTGCCCCGTCCTTCAAACTGAATCAAATTACTGCTTCACGGCAGAAATAAGCAGGGCGGTGGTACCTACCCGCGCGGACTCACTCCTACCACCAGTAATTACGCAAATTATAATATTGCGGATTTGGTTTTTATTACACGATGGATCCCTTCACCGTGGAAGTCAATCGTGAACATTTGTTAAGTACGTGTATTTCATTATAAAAATTTTGGTACCCGCCTGCGGGATTCGAACACCGGTGCATCGCTCGATACGAATGCACCGGACGTCTTATCCTTTAGGCCACGACGACTTGTTATAGCATATCAGTAACCTGTCGCTCGTTGATTCCAGGTGAAGAACGAGCGCCACCTGCGCGCCGGGAAGCCGATCGTGGTGGAGGTTTCGCTGGAGAGGGAGGACGACGTCCTCGGCCCGGTCATAGCGCCCTTCTTCCCCCAGGTACGGACCGCCGGTCGAGGTCTGACTAACCCGTGTAGAGAGCGAGAGCGAGAGAGGGGGGGAGATAAACAGGGAGGGGGGACCAGTTTGGGTGGTGAATTTCGTAGCCATGCAAACACACATATGGACACACATGCACACACACATGTTCACAACCAATCCACACACACTCGTGTAAACACACACACAGAGAGAGGGAGGGGGAGAGGAGGAGAGAGAGAGACGTTCGCACACACACACTTAAACACAACAAGTATCTAATACATGTCGTCCACGTTACTATAATAATTGCGATCGTTGTTTGTTTCTCCTGCGATAGAAACGCGAGGAGGGCTGGTGGGTCGTGATCGGAGACCCCAAGAGCAACACGCTGCTCTCCATCAAGCGGGTGTCGCTGGCCAGGAGCGCCAAGGTCAGTGAACAGTCTCCTTCTAGTCCAGAAATGAAAGGCCATTTTGGTTTAAGCGACATTATTTGTAACTTCACAGGAGAGATACCTATATAAAGTTTAAAAATTTGGACAAAAAATATTGTAAAGTAAACATAATTGAAGTTCAATTAAATGTATCGAACTATTGATGCTAATATCAAATAAAACGGATCTTTAATTACAAAGATAAATGTCGCTTAAACCAATTAACCTTTCATCTCTCGATATATTTTACGTATGGCTTTGGCTCCATGCAACGTCACTAGTGCCATAGTCGAGTTTATAAAAATATTCAATTACTATCTGACCCGGCAGACTTCGTAGTGCCTCAAACGATAAATAAAATATCTAAACTTTTGTATAAAATAAACTTAAAACAAACAAAAGGAATACGTCCGACGGGGGACACATCAAAGGAAAAACATTTCCTAGCATTTTCATATTTATCTATCTTTTAAACCTTCTCTGAACTTCAATTCAAGACCAAAATTAGCCAATCGGTCNAATTACTATCTGACCCGGCAGACTTCGTAGTGCCTCAAACGATAAATAAAATATCTAAACTTTTGTATAAAATAAACTTAAAACAAACAAAAGGAATACGTCCGACGGGGGACACATCAAAGGAAAAACATTTCCTAGCATTTTCATATTTATCTATCTTTTAAACCTTCTCTGAACTTCAATTCAAGACCAAAATTAGACAATCGGTCCAGCCGTTTTCGAGTTTTAGCGGGACTAACGAACGGCAATTCATTTTTATATATATAGATTATATTATTATAGATTAAATACATATATCGTCTTTTCGCATTAGAAGTGTACAATTTCCTAAAATATTCGAAATTGATTTTTTATGCGGAATCATTTGGTATCTATCACCAGTATATTTTTCTCATAAATACTGTCAAAGAGCGTAGTTTAGTTTACCTATGTTTTGACTACTATTAACAAAATTAATACATAATTTTATCTTACTCTAAAACTAAATGGTAAAAAATAAAAAAATAATGTTGCAAAGATGATTAATGTTAAAAATATCACATGTTTTAAATCTTTAAAACACTCTCCTGTAACATTAGTAAGTTTTGAGATTATACAGTTTTAATGCGAGAGGACGATATGTTATGTTACATAAACAATGATATGGTGCTAAATTAGATCCAAGTTAATTTATTTGAGAGCAATCGATTGGGTAGAAATTAAATGATCCAAGATGAGTACAGATGAGATATAGTCTCAGTAAACTAGTGATTGTTTACTTATTAGTCTCATTGCTTACTTAGTCCACTGAAAAAAATTGACTAAATGACCACTATTTTACTGAGATTATATATTTCATCCCATATCATCTCATCTCATTTCATATTTAATTTCATCCCGATTGATTAATGTCTCAAATTAATCATCTTCATTTCCTTTCACTCCATATTATAATTTTTCATCAAAATTAAAATAAGACACGACTAAGGGTGGATTCGACCAAACTTAAATTTATACTCGAGTAACTATACGAGGAATAACCTATTCCATGATTTTAATCTCGGGTAAATCCATAGGCGTTTTTCCACGTAAACGATAGTATACTTGCGCTGGGAATAACAATACGCGAATAGCAGAGTGAATGGTGAACGAAAATAAAATTCGGCAAATAAATGTTGTTGTACAACGGCATAGTGTAAGAGCATACATAGCGTCAACTCGATTTTGCCGTATTTTAGTGTGAAAAAGTAGCTGTTGTGAAAGATATCCAGCTGTCAAACGTATTATTTTTATTTGTTGTTTGTTTGAGGGAATTGTCAAGTTTTGTCGTTTGGTTTTATCTTTTTTCGTTTAAACGTTGCATTACACAATGCCAGACTATTAATAATAATTTAGTGCATTGCGTTGACTTTAAATTAAAACAGAATAAATAGTTATGAAATGACAGAAATCAGATGTTGGACTGACTGACGCCATTACTTTATTCTAGGAATAGCTCCGTTATTCCGTGCGAAACGGCGGTATAGTAACAATTTCCGAATAGGCCCACTATTCTTAGAATTGTAGATGGTAAAACGTAAAATTGATTTACTCTCGATTAACTGACGAGTTATTCTAAGAATAAGATTTACTCTTGTTTGGTCGAATCGACCCTTAAAGGTCTTAGTTACCAGGTCATAAAATCTTTTAAAAAAAAAATAGGTCCGGCTGGACTTCGTGTGTGGCGGCGCGGGGCGGCACACGTACACCCTGTACTTCATGTCGGACGCGTACCTAGGTGCCGACCAGGAGTACAAGTTCAACGTTGAGGTGGCAGACGCGGCGTCCGACTCCAGCGAGGACTCGGACCAGTACGGCTGACCTCATCCGACCTGACCCGACCTTCGTATAGTATAATAAGTGATAATAAAGCTGTGGAAATTGTTTTTTGCATTTCATTTTGGAACACGCTGTATTTGCACCGGTTGCACTTGTCGACTACAGGGTATTGTTTTTATTGAATAAATATCTCTATATATTAATACGTAAAGCAGAAACTTTGTACCCAGCTTAGCGTACTTAGCGGTAGGCAGCGGCTTGGCTCTGCCCCTGGCATTGCTGAAGTCCATGGGCGACGGTAACCACTCACCATCAGGTGGGCCGTATGCCCGTCTGCCTACAAAGGCAATAAAAAAAAAAAAAAAAAAAAACCCATTTTTACGAAAATTGCGCAGACGGAGGAGTATGAAATTTTTCACACTTATAGAGAATATAGAGAAGGAGTGCACAATGCTAATATTTTTTTTAAATTAAGCTTAAAAGATACATTAAATCAATAAAGAAAACATTACACACACTACCATGTATTTGGCACACACACGCATGCATACTATTTATTTATTGTCAAACTTTTCTTATTGCATAAAGTCTATGGTCAAATTGAGAATAGATTGAATATTGTTTGTCATTGTTAATATTTGTCTAAAGGGTAGTTTTGGCGCAATTTGTGATTATAGAAGCTTATTAATCTTTGACAAAAGAATCGTACAAAACTTATAATTTCAATTAATTATAGTCGAATTTTGACTACTGCGGGGCCACTAGTTAGGGGTTAAAGTATGAAATTGCCGATTTGTACTGAAAAATTGGAATTCGTTTTTTTTCTTCTTTAATTAACATATTTATGTTCTTAAAATATCTCTACCATTATTATCTATATATGGCTGCCATCTAATAAGATAGTCATTTATGCCTTCGCGATGGAACTCTGTTGATCTAGTATCTACAAACTGTGTGAAAGCATTTTGTACTGCCTCCTGGGAAGAAAGGTTTTTAACACGTAGAAAATTGTCCAAATTGCGAAAAAAATGGTAGTCCGTTGGAGCAAGGTCTGGCAAATACGGAGGGTGACGAATGATTTCTAATTTCAGTTCCTGTAGAGTTAAAACGGTTTCTCGTACTGTATAAGGGAGGTCTCGCGTTATCATGGAGCAATAATGGTCAAGATCGATTCATGAGTCGGGGCTGTTTCTCTGCAGGTTTTGCTGTCATTGTTCGGAGTTCAGCATAGTAGACATCTGCCGTTACTGCTTGACTACCGGTCATCATTCTCGTCGAATCCGTCGCTTGCGACGAAGGGCTGGACGAGTAAACTAGCCTACAGACACAGCCCACTGAGTTTCTCGCCGGATCTTCTCAGTGGGTCGCGTTTCCGATCCGATAGTAGATTCTGCGAAGCACGGCTCTTGCTAGGGTTCGTGTTAGCAACGTCGTCAGGTTTGAGCCCCGTGAGCTCACCTACATGTTAGCGTGAAGCTGAAATAACCTCTCAAGGCTTGACTAGATCGGAGAAAGCCATAGTGAATAACACCATGCTGAGATCACCAAATAGTTACCACTACCTTTTTATTGGTAAGCTTTGCTTTAGGACACTGTTGCGGCTTTTGACCTGGGATCAGCCATTGCATTTTTCGCTTACGGTTATCATAAAGAATCTACTTTTCATCACATGTCACAATTCGATCCAATATTCCTTCATTTCTGTGTCGATTCAACAAGGCAACACGCGTTTCTTTCTGCAGATCAGTCAAATCATGAGTGATTTGACTGATCATGCCTCAGCACCCATTTTTCATATTTTTTTATTTTAATTATTTGACGAAAATGAGTCAATATTACTGCTTCACGGCAGAAATAGCATGGCGGTGGTACCTACCCGTGCGGACTCACAAGACATCCTACCACCAGTATAACCTACAAAGGCTTCTATTGCACCAAATTGATGGACCAAACGCCCCACCTAGTTGTAAGCGATCACCTTAGATCGCGCCAGCGCGTACTAAAATAAAACTTCATATTACATTACATAATTTATTAAAAACTCGTAATTAATTTAAAAAATAATTGTAATAAAAAAAAAACAATAATAATAATAATGTAATTTCACTATTTACATTCCAAAATTTCTGGGAGGAAACTTTTAATATTGCACTTATTTTAATTAAAGACATCGTCATATGTTATTTCTATTTGTGTCGCATTTTTTTTATTGCTTAGATGGGTGGACGAGCCCACCACCACCACCTGGTGTTAAGTGGTTACCGGAGCCCATAGACATCTACAACGTAAACGCGCCACCCACCTCGAGATATAAGTTCTAAGGTCTCAGTATAGTTACAACGGCTGCCCCACCCTTCAAACCGAAACGCATTACTGCTTCACGGCAGAAATAGGCAGAATGATGGTACCCACCCGCGCGGACTCACAAGAGCTCCTACCACCAAGAGGTCTTGTTTTCATTAATTTTATTCGTTTTTGTCACGGCGGAGAGCGGTAAAGAAATACATAATTATATGGCGGTCGTAGTATAAATTGTATTTTATACAAATATCTTCGCGCAGAACCATAAGGTCGTACATCCACAAATACAAAATTGACTATTTTAACTAGGGTTGCCAGATTTTTTTCAGCTTATAAGGGGTAAATACTTAAACGGGCAAAAAATAAGGGAATTTAATATTTTACCCGAGGCAAATAAAAAACAAAATTATATAGTGACATTCTTTTTTTTATATTACTCCGAGGAGCAAGTCAGTTTTAACATATTTATAAAAATCAATACAATTATAATCGTATGGTTCGAATACAGTCAGTCCCGCCGGGATATTTTAAACTAAGCCTAAAATACGGGACGCCCCAGGAAATACGGGACGTCTGGCAACCCTAATTTCAACCCTTTTAATGTTTTATTTTCGTTATTGAATTTTCGTATAAAACTTTCGTAAAAACATATAAATTATTTCTAGGAAAGATAAATAACCTAGATACCGACTGCAGCGCTGTCTGCCCTACTGATTTGTGAATCTAAACCTTTCTCGTATCCACCAGAAAGTACACGGAAAATATCATTAAAATCGGTCCAGCCGTTTAGGAGGAGCTCAGTGACAAATACACGCACAGAACAAATATATGTATATATAAAAATAAACATTGAAATGTTTTGTTTTTTTACTTTTCAACATAAACAGTACACGTACACAAGTTTTAAACCATCAATTATATCGAGACCAAAACAAAGTAAACATATAATGTATTAAAAAAAACCAATCAATCGATTTACTCAAAACCTCGATCCGACCTTATGGCTCTGACGAATTCCCTCCCGCCTTCAAATGCGACACACAATTTTCAACTTATAGTTCGTAACGAAAACTACGAATTAAGTACAAATTAATACTTCGTTAGTTCGGTGTGTGTGACGCCGCCCGGCATCCTGACACTGGACCTTTGACCAGCCCAGGACCCTGCATCATGGAAGGGTTCACCGGATCGGACGCCACCAAAAACCTCATTACCAACATCCGCTTAGAACCCCTCGCGACTCCTCAGCCGCTGCCCTTGAGCTGAGCGTCCCCGCGCCGGCTCCGCTCAGATCGAATGCAACGGTTGCATTATCCGTTCGTCTATATCCACTTTCCGCTCGTGCACTTTCAAGTGTCCCTTCAGAGTGCATTTCTGCGTAAAAGCCCTGCCGCACACCGGGCACGTGAACCTCTTGTCGTTATTGTGTATCCTCATGTGCTCCCGAAGCGTTTTCTTCCGCTGGTACGACTTACTGCAGACCGGGCACGCGTGTATCCTCTCCCCGTCGTGTTTTATCATGTGCATCTTTAACGCGTTACGCGTGTAAAAGGCCTGGTCACACTTTTCGCACTTGTGATTCCTCTCGTTAAGATGATCGCGGCGTACGTGACTCGACAGGTGACCCGGCGTGATGTAGCTTTGAGGACAGCTTTTGCACTTGTATCTCTTAAGCTCCTCGTTGTGGACTTCCGCGAGGTGCTTTTGTCTCGCGTAGAACGAGGTCAGCGAGATGTTGCAGCGCTTGCAGGCGTAGCGGACGCCGGCCTTATGCTCCTTGGATACGTGATTCTCGCGTTTCGTGATCCTATCAAAAGTCGCGCTGCAGTACTTGCAGGGGAACGTGCCGACCTCGTGCGTCCGCATGTGGCCCCTAAGCCGAGCTTTCGACGCGAAAGCTTTCCCGCAATTCTCGCATATAAAGTCCGGGTAATGCTCGTTCATGTGGGTGTTCAGGCTGACGTAGTTGAGGAAGTTCTTCTTGCATATCGGACAGTCCAGCTGGTCCTTCTCGAGTTTGAAGGGTAGATTGTTGCAAGAGCGGTTGTATTTGGACATGGAGCAGGTCTGCACGTGCCGCGAGAGCTCCTCGTAGTCGGACACGTGCGCCGAGCAGGTCTTGCAGCACATGCGCGCGCCGGACTTGTAGAACCGCTGCGACTTCGAGAAGATCATCTTCTTGAAGGCGACGTGGATGTTTGAGCGGTCGTGCTGGGTGACGTGCTCCTTTATCTCGTCCAGACTGCTGGATTTCTCAGGGCAGACGGCGCAGCTGAAGCTCCTGTTTGTTTTGATCTTGAACGGAAACAACCCGCTCTGGAGCATCAGGTCAGTGTCCGCCAGATCCTCGGTTTGTTTCAGGCTGATCTTTATATATTTCTTTCTCCTTCGCCTCGTTTTCGCGGAGAAATCCTCGTGGCATTCCTTCTTTATTAGATACTTTAGAGCTGAAACAAATTCAGTGGTGATGTCATTTTTTTTCCTACATAAGCTGATAGCCTTGAGAGGCTATATCAGCGTCGCCTTAACTAGTAGGTGAGCTCACGGGGCTCAAACCTGACGACGTTGCTAACACGAACCCTCGCAAGAGCCGTGCTTCGCAGAATCTACCACCGGATCGGAAACGCGACCCACTGAGAAGATCCGGCGAGAAACTCAGTGGGCTATGTCTGTGGGTTAATTTACTCGACGAGCCCTTCGTCGCAAGCGACGGGTTCAACGAGAATGATGACTGGAGGGTGATGTCATATAACGTCGTTGTCAAACCCAAATCAGCTATGTGCTCTTTTTGAGATTTTTACTTT